CCACCTCGTGTGCCCCCCACCGTGTCCCCGTACCTCCCCTCCCTTCCCTTCCTCTCCCTCCCAAGGATAAGGAGGGCCGTCCAGCTCTTCCCACCTCACCCCCATCCTTCCCCACCCCTCCTCTCCCTCGCCCCCCTCCTCTCCTGCCCTTTGCGTCGTGCTGTTCCTTCCTTGACGCTTCCGCCCGTCCTCTCCCCCCTCTCCTCCCCCCCCCCCCGGTCCTCCAGGCGCGAACCTCGCCGCCAGCTTCGGGCCCAATGGCACCTACCCGGTGCCAACGAGGCCCTAGTGTGCGGGGGGGCGCTGGAGGGGCGAGGCGGAGGGGCGAGCAGGGAGGGAGGGGCGAGGAAGATTTGGAGGGGGTAAGGGGGAGGAGCGGCCGCGGGCAGCAGCAGAGACAGCAAGCGGTGGCAGGCAGCGAAGGCAAGGTGGGGAGGGGGCGGGACGGGAAAGGGAGGAGGGGAGCGGGAGAAGGACTAGGAAAAGGAGGCGGAGCATCCGGAGAGGCATCAGCAGTCGGCAGCAAGGAGCGGAGAACGGAGAGCAGCAAAGAGATGCAAAGAACAAGCAGCACGCAGCAAGCAGCAGCAGGAGCGGCAATCTGAGGGGAACAGGGGAGGGAGAGGGAGAAGGAGGAGGAGGGAGGAGGGGGACGAGGAGAGAGGAGCGGGAAATGGAAGAGTGAAGAGCATGATAAGGGTGGAGTGATGAAGTTTGAGCCGTCACCCTCGGGCAGGTGCCACATCTCTTGCCCCGATTGTCCCAAGTCCTTTCTAAGCACTGGCATGTCTTATGTCCCCTCATAACTGGCATGCCAGTTCCGGATGGATGTTCTTTTTGCCCAAAAAAAAACCATAATTGGCATGTCGCATTATTAGTTTGTGTCATCCCCTTGCTCTCTCATCACTGGCATGTCTCATCCCTCATCCCCCTCCATTCATCTTCACTCCGCGCAGGTAACTTCTCGTCGCACGGCCCACCAGACGGGTCGGCGGGGCGGGCCGTGCGGTTGGCTTGAGATGTTCCTCGCACTGTGCGATCTTTTGGCGTGAAATTCAGAGCAACTCCACATATTGAGGGAGGACAGTCTTCAAAATGTGGTTTTCGCCTCAGCGCCGCGCACGTCCGTTCAAAGCTTACGCAGGTACACGAATGGCGGCCAGGCGGGCTTCAGCATACGATTATAGCCTTAGCGCCACGCCCAATCGTTGAGCAATATAGATGGATGGAGGTATATTAGTTTTCAAAGTTGGACCCTTGCTTGAAAATTCATCATATCTGAAAGGTTGCGCCCTTTGCCGCCAGCTCCCCACGCCCTGAGCCACACGTTGGCTGGCATTGGGACCTTCTGGGCGTATGTTTGACACCTTCGGCAGATAGTTTGCAAAATTAGGATTATGCGAAGGCCTCTGAGTTGTGCCTGCCGCCGCCGCCACCGACGCTGCCCGCAGCTGTGAAGCATTGATTCGAGGACCGAGCCGAGGATTGCGCGTCGCCTGCGCGCGTGGGACAGGTAGGATCAGGGTTGTCGCTTCGTCGTCGCCCTCTCCTCCCATGCTTTCCCATGTTATTCCTACATATCCGACGTATAGCTTTACGGATCCATCATGAGCAACGAGACCCATATTGCACCATTACCATTTAACCCCATTTTCGCCAGGAGTCTTGATTTTCTGGCGAACGGTTGGTTATCTGCCGAAAGTTCCATTGCTGGTCCATATGCGTCGGCGACTGCAGCCAATCATAGCAATGCAAATGTTCACGCAGAAGATACCCACTCTCGGACTACAGTGCCCCTAGCGGATGAAGCGATCCATGTCCCTCCTGGAGTATCAGCTTTCCCGTTATTCGACGATCCATTTGCTTTTGCGATGGACGGCGAATCGGCATGGGTTCCGCAGACGGAACAAGGAGACGATGTGGGACGCGAGCTGTCTGCGATTCTGGAAGATGAAGATATCAAGCCTGACGCTTCGTTCATTAAAAGCAAGATGGTTCCTATTGTATCTCAAGCAGATCACACACGGGGTAGCACGGGGAAACGCCTGGGGCATAGCGCTACAAGACACCTGGAGATATTAGCACGGAGAAGGATTCCCCAGTTCAGGTGCCCAAAATGACAAAGCATATTATTGACGAATCTCGACATCCCGTTGAGAGTCCGGATTCTGGACCACTTCCCATTCCAAACATATCCAAACATATTTCCGCGCAGCGGTGGGAGAAGATCCCGATCAAGATCTCCTATGGCGTCCAGGTTGCGTTACCGATCAAGAAGCAGCCCAGGATCCTATAGAGCCTCCTCCGCGGACATATCTCCGTTAACATTGGTTGTTGGGCCAAAAGGCCGGGGTGCTATCCCGCACCCGAAAACGGACGCCCAGGGAAAACACATAGATCCAAGGGATCGTACCAGCGACCAGCATGCGCAGGATGTTCATACATGTGACAGCGTTGTAACCTCAATTGGAGTTGCTCCGAATTTCTAGACATGCAGGAACATAACTACCGCCATCTCGCATTCTTGGAATGGCAACAGGCAGAGGCGGAGAAGAGATCTGCCAACGAGAAGAGGTTGCGTGAAGACTTGGCGCGCGTTTTCAAGACAGAAAAACACGAACATATTCGTCGAGTCCATACTGAAGAGGAATTCTTCCAGTACGCCGCCCGACAGGCACAACCGAGCTAACTTGCTGCTTCAAAAACACCCCAATTATTGTCGACGGAGGCTGAACAAAGTTAGTCTGGCGAAGGACCCAACCATAAGCAGTTGTGAATACCGCAAGTGTGAACATCTTCTTCGGTGGCGCTCCCTATGGGGCCACGAACCGTGTGATGCGGCGGACGCAAGTGCACAGCGGCGCTGGGGCTTTGAGTGGAGCTCCCGGTGGGGCCACGAAACGTGTGAGGGGTGTGCCGAAATGGGCGTGGGGGACGCATGGTGGGGTTGGCATTGGAGCCTTCGGTAGAACTCCCTACGGGGTCACGAAACGTGTGAGGGGTGTGTCGACATCGGTGTGGGGGATGCAAGTGTCGGTGGCACTGGTGCCTTCGATGGAGCTCCCTATGGGGCCACGAAACGTGCGAGGGGTGCGCCGACATGGGTGCGGGGGACGCGTGCGGACGGCGGCGTTGGAGCCTCCAGTGGAGCTCCCCATGGGGCCACGAAGCGTGTGACGTGTGTACCGAAATGAGTGCGGGTACGCACGTGGACGGTGGCACTGGGGTTTCGGTGGAGTTCCCTATGGGGCCTCGAAACGTTTGAGGGGTGCGCCGTAATGGGTGCGGGGGACACATGTGGACGGTGGCACTGGGGCCTTCGGTGGAGCTCCTTATGGGGCCACGAAGCGTGTGGGGGGTGTGCCGACATGGGTGCGGGGGACGCATGTGGACCGTGGCATGGGCATGGGGCATTCGGAGGAGTTCCCTTTGAGACCACGAAACGCGTGAGGGGGATCCTAAATGAGTGCGGGGACGCACGTGGACGGTGGCTTTAGGGGCCTTTTTTGGAGCTCCCTCTGGGGCCACCATACGTGTGAGGGGTGTGCCGAAATCGGTGCCAGGGGACACATGTGGGCGGTGGTTTGGGAGCCTTCGGTGGAGCCCCCTCATGGTGCCACGAAACGTGTGAAAGGTGTGCCGAAAGAGGTGCGGGGGTCGCGTGTGGACGGTGGCACTGGGGCCTTCGGTGGAGCTCCACAAAACGTGTGAGGGATGTGCCGACATGGGCGCCGGGGACGCATGCTGACGTTGGCATTAAAGCGGGATAACGTTCGGCCCCCCCCGCCCAAAAAAAGAAGCCAGAATGGGGCCAAAACCTTTGTAAAACCAATGATTTTGGCGCCCAGAGGGCTGCTCGCCCAACGTTCGTTCCCCCCCCAGAGAGGCCAAAATGGGGCCAAAACCTTAGTAAAACCAATGATTTTGGCTTCCTCGCCGAGGCCTTTTGGGACGCCCTGACACCTCGCGGGGGGGCCCGAAAAAGGTCAGGGGAGGGGTAAGGGGAGGGGTAAACCCCTCCCGTAGGGGAAGAGGAGTTTTTTGGAAGAGGGAAGAGGAATCTCGTTAGACCACCTGTCGCCCAAAGGGCTGGTGGGATTCAGCCCCCCCCGCTGGCACCAGCCCCACCCCCCTCCCAGGCGAGAGTCCCCCTACCCCGCCCCCCTCTCGCCGCATGCAAACGATGTCGACGACGACGACTTCGCAGTCGCTTTCGCCGTCATCGTCGTCGTCGTCGGCGAGTCGGCCAGTCGGGCGGGAAATCGTCGTCGTTCGCCGTCGTCATCGCAGTCGCCGTCGCCGTTATCATTGTCGTCATCGTCGTCGTCGTCGTCGGTGAGTCGGTCGTTCGGGTGGGACATGGGACACGTCGTCGTCCGCCATCGCAGTCGCCGTCGTCGTCGTGGGCGGGTCGGTCGTGCGGGCGGGCGGGACACATCGTCGTCGCCGTCGTTTGTTGGCGCCGGGGCGAGCTGGCGGGACACGGCATCGTCGTGGTCGTCGCCGCCGTCGTCGGCATCCTCGTCATCGTTGTCGTTATCGTTTGCTGGCTCCTGGGAGAGGGTCGAACTTCTCCCCCGAGTTTCACTTTCGATGAGGGGGGACGGGAGATTACGACCCCCAAGAGACTTAAGGGGGATTGTACCCTCTAACCCGGATTTCCTCCCAACGTACTCAGAAGACGCTCTCTCGCTCATCCGAGACGAATGTTCATTTGAAAGGGCGCGTTGTCCATTCTGCGAGGTTCATGGGAAATTACGCAGCATTGCGAGCCCCAAGAGACCTGGCACCAACGAGAAGTCAAGTGCATGCGTAAGACGTAGGTCCGCTGGACCTCCCAGGAGCTCGCGGAAAGAGGCGACAGACGAGCAGAGCAGACAGCAGCGCCAGGACGGGACGGTGGATTGCAGCGCCGTTGATGCACCCTGCGCTTGCTTTGGTTGTCGCCCTCCTCCTCCCCCTCACCTCAGTTTGCTCATGGCGGGCAGCCGTTGCCATTGGGCTCAGGCCTCGGCACGGGATTACCGCCAGCCCGCCCGGCCCCCTGCTCCCCCGGCCGCCGCGCCCCTCCCGGGAAGCTGGGAGCCCAGGCCCTCGCCCCCTTTCGGAGGGCGCCGGCCGAACACGGCGACCGATCCTGGACGGGCCGATCCTGGGCCAAGGATAAACGTGCAGGCAGTCTTGGCCGCGCCGGGAGAGGGCGTGCCGTACGCCGAGGCTGGGCCCAGGATTGGCCTGGCCAGGCGTGGGTGTGTATAGCTAGCGCCCTCCTCTCCCTTGTCCCCTCCGCCTTCTCCCGGCGGGCCCATGGTTGCTCGTGAACCCCTCGCCGCAGCCGCGGGGCTGCTGGTGGGAATAGGCCGGAGGCGGCGATAGGGGCGAATAGCCCTGGGGGGGAGGGGAATGCGTGCATCCAGGGTGCCGATGGCCCTTGTCTTCGGCGAGGCTCCCCGACGAGCACGTGCAACGCCCGCCCCTGGGCTGTGCGCCCTTCTCTCGAAGAGGACAAAACGCCATAAGCATAAACTTTTGGCGCTCCGCGCGGATTTACTTCTTGGATCCGCGCTGGACCCCCCGCCTCGGCGCGCGCAGCGCGCCAGGGGCGGCGCCGGAGGCGCCGCCAGGGGGGCCCAGCGCGGATCCAAGACATAGATCCGCGCGGAGCGCCAAAAGTTTGCGTTCGGAGCGTGTTTGTCCTTCTTCCACGATCGTCGCCTCCGAGCAGGGGCCACGCTGCTCGCCGTCGCGGCGAGAGACCGCCGCGGGAGGTCCAAGCGTCGCTGCGGCGGCGCCTCCGGGGCTGCCCGGGCCGCGGCGGCCGCCTCCCGCGGGGAGCGCCAGGAGGAGGGCGCGGCGGCCACTGCCGAGGGCACCGCGGCCGCGGCCGCCCCGCCAGCTGCCGTCGAGATCGAGTACTGCGTGGGCTGCCGCTGGATGCTGCGGGCTGCCTGGATGGCTCAGGACAGGAATCGGCGGCGGGCGAGGGGGGGAAGTGAGAAGGAGAAGGCCTCCCCAGAGGGTTCGGAGGTCCCCCCGCCTGCTGAGAGGTCTTCCTAGAGTTCCCCGGAGGCAGGGGAAGGACTTCTCAGAAGGCGCGGGGGCTTCTGAGAAGTCCCGCCGCCTTCTGAGGAGGCCTTCTCCTTATCATTTCCCCCCTCGCTCACCGCTGGAAGAAGAATCACGACGGGAGGTTTCTCGCCAGTTTCGGCCTCCGCGGGCCCCTACCTCGCCCCGGGGCCGTCAAGAGACGACTCGGGGTGAACAACCGGTCGCCGGGAAGGGGTCCAGACCTTTGGGGGTCGATGTCACGAAGAGCACACGACGTCGGGCGTCGCCCAGGGTTGCCCAGGGCTTCGGTCTAGGCCGCCCAGACAGGGCCCGAGCAGACGTGGTCGGAGGCTCGCGCCGCATCGCCCACGAATCGGCGATGCGGCTCGGCGTGAAGCCCGATGATTCTATCCACGCCGCTGTCGCCGATGCACTGGCGATGCGGCGCGATCATCCGACCACATTACTCGGACCCCATCTCAGCGGCCTCTACAGGAGCTGCTGTCGACTTTCTCGTCCTCGACGACAGAGCCGCTGGTCATCGGCAGGCTGGTGTTGAGTCGGGCGTGTCCCTCTACAGTAGGGATATTCGAAAATAGTCAAAAATTGTATGGGCACGATTTTTTGACTATTTTAGACTATTTGTGAATATTTGTTGGGCTATGTTCAATTGTTCGTCGAAAATCCGCCTGTAGGGGGACATGCCTGGCCGAAGGCTGGTGTTGGTGCCCAATGCCGACAAACCTGGGGGCGTCTTCCGCGTGAGGGTCAACGGCGACGAGGTGTACGACCGCAAGGCGCAGGGCGGCTTCCCGGAGGCTAAAGTTCTGAAGCAGCTGGTGCGCGACCATCTCGCCCCTCAGCTGAACCTGGGCCACTCCGACAAAAAGTGAGCCCAGCGGTGGAAGAGAGATCGACCCCAGACGAAAAGGTGAGGGGATGACCCAAGACGCCGGTGATATGCCCACACGTGGACCCCTCCTCCCCCTCGTCCTCCCCTGCAGGCGGTTGGACTAGAGATGCTGCTGGTGGTGGAGTTGTTAGGGGTCCTGTTCTCGGCTGGGTCAGGCGGCGAGGGCCGACCACTCCCCCTGCTTCAGCGACTTCGGCAAGTGACTGGGATCGTTCAGCCAGGTCGTCCAACGCCTGCCGCCCCGAGTGCGCAGGGCGACCGCTCTTTTCCAGTTCCTTTTCATGTGTGAGCCACTTTCGTTGCAGCCCGTCGGAGATGCCTGTCCGCCCAGGAAGGCTGCAATCTCTGGTCTAGGTCACCCCATCACCCCAGGGGCGCGAAGATAATCGCGATTCGCGCGTCGCGGTCTGAGTCTGACTGGCTGCCTTTCTCCACAGGAGCGGCGCCTGAACACGAGAGCGCGAAGATGACCGCGCGTCGCGGGGCGCGATGCGCGAAGTTGGGTGACCTAGGTCTCGCCCAGGGCATTTGAGGTGGGGTCGCGCGCAGCGCATCATCTAATCTAAAGCTTGGCATCGTTCTGACGTGCGCTTTATTCTCGGCGAAGACCATCGAGGAGCATCCTGGATCATCTTGCGAAAAAATGCACGGGGAATGGGCGTCCGAGCGATGGTAATCATCTGTTCCCAGCACGTCTCTTTCTGGAGAGACGGTCAAGCCAGCGGCTCGCGATTTCCCGACGATGAGCCATCGATCGGCCATGATCTCCAGATTCATGAACCCAACCCCTGGAAAGGTCTTCGGAGGTCTTTGGAGCCTTCTGAAGGTGTGATATAGCGCATGTGTAACGTGCGTACATGCGCCATTCGCCGCCGTTTGACCTCTAGGGGCCCCTTTTTGCCATTGCGTTAAAACGCATCATAATCACACTGGTAGCGGAGCTATCACACGATCCCCGTATCGTACCACAGCGCGCACGTCTCATCAGAGAGTGTCGCACAACCTCTCTTCACTTTCTGTACTGGCAGTTCCCCTCGCTAGGGGATTGGGCCTTGCGCCATGGCACTTTCTTCTCTTCGCTATCGGCCGAGCGCCGACGCGCTGACGCGGTCCGAATCGAAGAGTGGCTCTTACATCTACGACGGCACGGTGAACAACTTTCACGAGCGGGAATTCCGCACAGACAAAGATACGCATGAGTGCCGCCTTGCCCTCAGTAAATCCAGAGACGGGTGCACGTGATCACCGCAGCTGTCAACAAGGTTGTAGAAGGCCTCAGAGGTGACGCATTCGATATTGCCATGGATATCGGAAGCACGTGTTTCTGACTCCAAATGGGATCGATCAGTTTGCGTTGGCGCTTCGTATTTCACTCTTCCCCATAGAGGCGCAGGAATCGAAGATCCTGTTCCAGGTGGGGCAGAGAACATATGGACCACATTCCCCGAAGGAAGCGTTGGTGGAAACTTGTCTCCAACTTAGATCCTAAGATCTTGATGGGCGACGATATGCTTGGCTACCTTTTCTTGGACCATGCATGCCTCTCGCCATTGCAGAACCTGATGGTGTTGACATCCACAAGAAATCGGGCGACCTTCGACAGGATGAAGGACGTCTTGATCCTCCAGCACGGCCGCATACACATCCGCCAAAAAGGCAAGGGCGAGGCTGGCAAAGGCTCCAGCTCTTGAGAATCACCAGAATGTCGTCGGACTACATTGGAGCTGCCAAGAATTATCCATGTGAGTCTTGCGAGCATCACAAGCCGTTAGCTCAGACTCACAAGATTGCCTTGCCCAGGAAGTTTTACTTCAACAATGAAAAGGGCATCGACTGTCTATGGGGCCAAGGACAACAGTGGAGAACGCTACACCTTCCTGACCTTAGTGTGCCACGTTGCAACACTTCAGCGTGCAATCCTTGTCCAGCAGGGAGGTGGTACGCCATCTTCGATAGCATGCCTCACTGCACTTCAGCAACACTGGTGTGCATGGGCGGGCAAGACCATAAGAATGGTGTTAGACCGTGGACTGCACAACAGAGGAGTGTTTCTGAAATAAGTTTAGAGTCACGGGATCGACCTCCGCGACGCCGGAGTCGAGTCCCCCGAGCAGATAGGCCGCACCGAGAGACATGGTGGACTTTGGAAGAACATCTTTAACAAGGTCGTACACGGCAAGAACGCTACCGGACTCGATGAAGTCATCTCTATTGCGTCAGAAGTTGACAACACGAAGAATGAGAGGTCACGGGTCGGCGGATTTGCGCCCGTTCAGTGGGCACTCGGAAAGATGCCTCGTGCCCCAGGGAGTCAATTCGACGACGAGGAAGCTTTCGACTTAGGGGCGCTCGCTAATGTTGCAGAGGGCGGAGCCGACGAGTTTTCTCGCCAGGCTGCGATCCGGGCGCCTGCCAGAAAGGCGTTCGCAGAACGCGACGTCGGGAGTAGGGCGGCAAGGGCCGCTCTCCGAAAGGCAACACCACTGGCTGGATAGAATCAGGAGGGTGATATAGCACGCTTTCGCATGAGGCCGACCGACGGCGAGGTTACCGCTCAGTGAGGCGCTGGTTCTCGCATCGCTGGATTCGATGGCAAAAACGCATGGGTTATCACAGAGGGCGCACCTGTCCGCGCGGCTGTCGACAGGCTTCGTCCGCGCACAGCGGCGGAAACGTCGGCTTACCAATGCTTTTCTAAGCACCATGACGGTGGAGCTGAAAGATATGCGCCCCCAGACGGGCAACAGCAGCCATTTGCGGGCGAATGGCGCGAGCTGCCAGAACCGCGGGCGCAAGAGCATTCCGTCCAAGAACATCTTATGACGACGGAAGAGCTGCCATGGATCCCAGAAGACCACGAATTCATAGCAGAAGCATTTCGCCAAACAAGATGAACTGCCCGATGGAATGATCGTTCCTGCGCCGCCCACGACGACATCGCCACAAGTGACTCGCGCGCCCCTTCGGAGGTCGCCACTAGACGACGCCCCGCACAGCATACAGAGTCGTAACGAAGTGATGCTTCTGTCTCGGAGCCAGCTCCCGAACCAGCGAACCCATTCTTGAGGCCATGCGCAGGGCCGGAACACCGGGGCCGACATGGATCTTCTAGTTCGCATAGAAGCCTCACCCGCTGTTAAGCCACATGAGCCGCTTGTCGAATGGTTCAATGAACGCACCGTTCAGAAGCCGCAATCCAGGAAGTGCAAAGAACCTTGTATATCATCGAGAATCCGAGGACGTGAAAAAACGGCTTACGACTGGCAAGACAAGACGACTGGGGAAAATTGCGGAAGTTCAACGTCGCCGCGCCTATTGATTCCGTGGAACTGCAGAATCTCTTCGACGAAGGATACCGCATGGTACCGACGCAATGGATTGAGATTGACAAGAATGAACGTCTCCGTAGACTGGGTGGACCTTCGGATGCACCGCGGTACAAGAGTAGGCTTGTCGCGCGTGGAGATTCGTGTAGAATCTGGTGCACGTATCCGCGCCGTTATCGCAGATGCGCGCGGGGTGCTTGGCCCCGGAAAGAAGCTGCCAACCAACTGGGATGACAAATCAGCCATGTCTATGAGACACGCATGGATGACAGATTTTAAAAGCCTCGAAGAACACCTAGTAGCCCCAACATTGGCAAGACAGAAGATAAGCGCTTGAGCATCGATTTGGTTAGTTTAAGACAGGATATCTGGACTCATGTAACGGAACAAGTGGAGATTCTACATCCACGCATATTTTGCGATAAGATCCGATGGATCGGCTGTTGATTGTCTGACGAAGAATCTGCCTGCGGATTTCCTTGTCTGGATCTCACGCACAAGTTCATATGGCGCAACTCCAGACCCTGAATCTACCTTAGAGAAGGTCAAGAAACAACTGGCGAGGGCCAGGGCGAATGCTATCCCATCGGGGAAGTGAGTGACTGAGCCCTGGCTGCCTTGACTCGAGCAATCCCAACACGGGAGCGCCCCTTTGCTGCCCCTAGAGGCTTACTGAGACCAGCGGTACTGCTCGGTCTGCCGGCTAGCTCGTGGTAAAATTTCACGGGCGCGAGATGGTGCATATGGCACGCGCGTGCATGCGCCGCTCGCCCCCTTTTTGCCATTGCGCTGACGCGCATCATAATCACAGAAGAGCTTCAGAGGATCTCAGGGAGGTCTGGATCGCAACCACCCAGAAAAATTGAAAACGTGGAACTAATTGATCTCCAAGTTTCAGGCGAGGGCCCAGAAGAAGGAGTTGGAGGAAGGTGAGGAGGAAGAGGAGGAGGATGAGGAGGGGGAGGGGGGGGAGGAGGAGGAGGAGGAGGAGGAGGAGGAGGAGGGAGGAGGAAAAGGAGGCGGAGGCGGAGGAGGAGGAGGAGGTGGAGGAGGAAAAGGAGGAGGAGGACGGAGGAGGAGGAGGGGCAGGAGCAGGAGGAGGAGGAGGGCGAGGAGGACGAGGAGGAGGAGGAGGAGGAGGAGGAGGAGGAGGAGGAGGAGCCATTTTGGCACGAGCGCGCCCGCCTCTGAGAGCCTTCCAGGGGTGGAGTCGTTCGCTTGCCCCCCCCTCGGCGCCGCGGCATGGGCGGGGGCCCATCGCCGCGGTGGGCGCGGGCGGGGGGGCGCCGCGCTGGCCGCCGAGGTCCCGGGCAGCCTCTGCGGCGGCCAGCAGGCTGCTGGGGCCGCTGGCGGGCGCAGCGGCGGCGGCAGCGGCGGCCCGCAGAAGCCGGAGTGGCGGTGCCCGGGCTGCGGCGCGACAAACTTCGAGGGCCGGGCGCACAGCCGCAGGTGCGCCGGAGCGCGCGGCGGCGCGTCTGCGGCCCGCCCGCCGACGCCCGCACCCGCCGCCGGCGCTGATGGAGGCGGAGCCGCTGCCAGGGCCAACGGCGCTGCCAGGGCAGCCGATTGGCCAGCCCTCCCAGCAGCGCGGGGCGCGCAGTCGCGACCGGGGGCTCGCCGAAGCGCACCGCGGCGAACCAGTCGCCCCCAGGCGCTCCCAGGCACCCACAGACGTTCCCCCAAGCGGACGCTTACCGGAGGCGCACGGCGGCCGCGCGCAAGGTTGGCGCGCCCACCGGGAAAATGGCGCCGCTGGAAAGAGCAGAGCAGGCGGCACAGGCGCGGGCGGAAGAGGCTGAGGCGGCTCTCCGCCTGGCGGCGGGAGGTGCCCGCGCGGGCGCCCGACGACGAGCGCTCGGGGCTGGCGCGGGCCACGCGGGAGCTGCTGGAGAGGCTCGAGAACGGGGCGCATGCCTGAGGCGATGCCAGAGCCACGGCTGGCGACGCCCTCGCGGCCGCGGCGGAGCCAGCCGCCCCAGCGCCGCCGAAGCTCGACGAACCAATGGGCGGGCCAGCGGGCGGCCGCAGGGCTTGGGCGGACGACGCCCCCTTCGAAGCCCCAGCGACGACGACGAGGGCGAGGGCGAGGACCTCGAGGAGGCCGCTCTCCTCGGGAAGCTCGACCGAGCGGAGGCGGACGACGAGGCTCTCCTCCAGGCCGCCCGCCGCCTGCAGGGGGCCCGCAGGAAAGCGGCCGCCGCCCGCCGGCCGGCCGCGGCCCAGCCGCCCGCGGTCTCCAGGCGCGCGCAGCCTTGCAAGAAGCCGCTGCCCTGCCCAGGCTGCCAGGCGCCGCTGCGCGCAGCGCGGGCCCTGCGACGCGAAACGTGCGCTGCTTGCCCGGGCCGGGCGGCTGGCTCAACCGCTGCGAGGACTGCGACGAGCTGCCGGGCTTGCGCAGAGGCCGCGGCCGCCGCCGCGGCGCAACCCGCCGCGGGGGCGGCGGGCGCCGCCGCCGCCGCTGCGGACCCGCCCTGGCCTGCCCGACGGAGGCGCTACGGCTGGCGCCGCCCCGGCGACGCCCGCCAGCAGCGGCGCGCCCAGCGCCGCGCCCGGGGGGCGCGCCGCGCTGGCTGCTGCAGCGCACCCGCTCTGCGACTTGACGGGCCCCCCACTGCTGGGCGGGGCTGGGCCAGCTGGACTGGCTGGAGGAGCTCGCCGAAGACGCCCCCGCGCACCGCTGCGCGCCGAGGGGGGCGCGCATTGCAGCGGCCCAGGCCGCGGAGAAGCCTAGGTCTGCAAGGCCGTCCTCGGCGCCGCGGCTGGCGGCCGGCAGGGCGGCGGAGCTTGGTAATTGCTGCCCCTGCGGGAGTCTGCCCTTCGCCGCGCCGCCCCGGCTGCGCGCGGAAGGCGACGGGCGGGCGCGAGAGCGCTGCGCGACCCTGCAGCGCGGAGGCCGGGAGGAGATTATGGAGGAAGCTCGCCGGACGGGCCGGGCGCAGACGCCGGTCCGGCGCGCTGCCCCGACCGCGTTGCCGGCGATGTGGCCGACGAGGCGTTGCGGAAGGCGCTGGCCGAGTAGCACCTCCGAGCAACCGCGCTCCTGAGCTGCCCAGGGCTGGCCCCGCTGACGCCAGAGACTGGGCGGCCGCTCCTGCCGGGCTTCCCGCAGCCGCGCGACGCCCCCGCCCTGGCGCCACCGCCAGCCCAGCAGCTCGGTGACGCGCCCTTCTCTTGCGGGCGGCTGAAGGTCCTCTAGGGGCGGGGCCGCCGTCGGCGGCGGCAGGTTCAAGCACCGGCGGGCGGTGCTCTCCGACTCCGGGGCGCCGGCTGCCCCCCGCGGCGTCTGCGACAGCGTGGCAGAGGGGCGCGTCCCCGAGAGCGCTGCCGCCGCTCTTGCTGCCTCGAAACTCACGCCGCCCCGGGAGGGCGAGCGCGGCGTTCGGCCCATCGCGGCGCCGAACATCCCGCGGCGCTTGGCGGGCCGCGCGTCGGCCACCGCGCAGCGGGGCCACTCGGCGGGCGCACTCGACAGACAGCAGCTCGCAATCGGCACGGCCGCCGGGACGGACTTCTGGCGCACGCGGCGCGCGCCCCGCTGGAAGCCTCGCCGCACCTTGCGGCCAAGACCCCGGACGCGCAAAAACCCTTCTGCACCGCGCGCGGGGCCAACTGTCCCCGGGAGCTGGAGGAGGGGGATCCCTTCTCCCCTTCGTGGAGTTGTTCTGCAGGCGCCGCTCGCAGCAGCAGGGGGCTGCCACCGCTTGTGCGCCACTGACGGCGCACTGGGCCAGGGCGACCCGCGCGCGCCCCTCCTCTTCGCCTGCGTCATGCGCCCCCACCTGCGCGCACCGGAGGAGGAGCTGCGCCGGCGGGCAGGGGCCCCGGGGCCCCCGCCGGGCGACGCCCACGCGTTCGCCTACCCCGACGACTTGGCAGTCCTCGCGCCGCCCGAGCTGGCCGCGGAGGCGCTGCTGGCGGCGCGGACCGCGCTTGCCCCGCCTGGGCTGGAGGTGCAGCCGGGCAGAACGCATGCCTGCAGACCTCGGGCCGCGCGCCCTCCCGGCTTGGAGGCGCACTGGGCAGGCGCGAGCAGCCATCCTCGACCTGGGGCTCCAGCGGGCGGGCGCCCCGCGGGTGTTCGAAACGTCACCGCGCGCTACGGCGCGCCTGGCGATGCCGACGGGCCCTGGGCCGCCGCGGCGCGCGATGGCGTCGTCGCCAGGGGCGCCGAGGCTGACAGGCACGCCCAACACCCTGCAGGGCGCGCGCCGCGGTGCATGGTGCCGCTTGCCTTCGAAACGGGCGGCCGCCACGGCCTGGCCGCCCTGCGCCACCTGCAGCGCCTGGCGCGAGACCGCGCGCAGCTCCTGGCCTGGGACGATGACCTGGCGGCCGCGGCGGTAGCCCGCGCCCTGGCGCGCCGCTGGGGCGCTGAGCTTTCGGTGGCGCTCCAGGCCGCCACGGCGCGCCAGCTGCGCACGGCGCTCGGGGCGGAGGTGCAACGCCCGCGCGCCCGGGCCGTCCTGGCCGCCACGCTGGCCGGGCGAGCGGGCGCTGCTGCAGGTGTGGGCTGGCTCCGGGTTCGTTTATTTCGCGCACACCATCGCCGCCATGCTCGTGGAGTTTTGTGAAGGCGTGCGTTCGGGCGTTCGATTGATTGAACGCTTCGGGGGTCGCAAGAGGAGGAAGGAGGAGGAGGAGGAGGAGGAGGAGGAGGAGGAGGAGGAGGAGGAGGAAGAGGAGGAGGAAGGAGGACGAGGACGAGGACGAGGACGAGGACGAGGACGAGGAGGACGAGGACGAGGAACGAGGACGAGACGAGGACGAGGACGAGGACGAGGACGAGGAGGAGCAGGAGCAGGAGCAGGAGCAGGAGAGGAGCAGGAGCAGGAGCAGGAGCAGGAGCAGGAGCAGGAGCAGGGGGAGGAGGGGGAGGGAGGAGAGCGGAGGAGGAGGAGGAGGAGGAGGAGGAGGAGGAGGAGGAGGAGGAGGGAGGAGGAGGGAGGAGGAGGAGGAGGAGGAGGAGAGGAGGAGGAGAGTAGGAGGAGGAGGAGGAGGAGGAGGAGGAAGAAGAGGAGAAGTAGGGCGAGGAGGAGTAGGGCGAGGAGGAGGAGATGGAGAAGGAGGAACAGGAGGAGCAGGAGGAGGAGAAGGAGGAGGAGCAGGAGGAGGAGCAGGAAAACGAGGAGGAGCAAACGGGAGAGGAAGTGGAAGAGGAGGAGGAGGAGGAGGAGGAGGAGGAGGAGGAGGAGGAGGAGGAGGAGGGAGGAGGAGGAGGGGTCATCGATCGGCGGCGTTCCTCCTCCTCGTGTTCTGCGGAGTTGGGCTGGGAGGCGGAGGTTTTCTTCGTCCTCTCCTTCCCTCCTCTCGTCGATCGACATTCTCTTTACTCATATCAGGATTAGTAGCATTAGCAATGTGTTTAGAATCCTCCCTCTTCGTCCCTCCCTCTTATTATGTTCAGCAGTATTAATAACAGCGTTATGAGTAGTAGTACTCGTATTCATATGTGTGTTTTAGCACTGTTAGTACTAGGTGCTACTAGCAGTATCACCTTTACGTGTTAGTCTGCTTATCAGTGTTCATAGTAATAGCATCCGTAGTAGTACTACTATTACTTTAAATATGATTACTAGCATCACGAATACGATTATTAGTAGTATCAGTGTTATCGGTTTACTAATAGTATGTATCGTAGTCGTCGTTTACATATCATGGATGAATATGCTTACTGCCATTCCTACTAGTCCTCCCTCTTATTCCCTCTCGTAATTTAATTTCCTCCTCCTTCATATGATGTCAGCCCTCCCTTTCGTCCTCTGCTTCCATCTCTTCTCGCATTGTCCTTCTCTTATCTCCCTCTTTTTCTTATTAGTACTATTACTCTTATTGTTATTATCATTATCCCCTCCGTCCTTTCCTCATCCTCTCGTCCCTCTCTTCTTCCCTCCCCTCGTCCCCCTCTTCTTCCCTCCTCTCGTCGCCCTCCTCATCTTCCGCTTCTTCCCTCCTCCCGTCTTCTTTTTCCCTCCTCTCTTCCATTCCGATCGATCCCATCCGACATCGATTCTGGCCGGCCAGATCGGATACGATCAGGGGTGGACAGAACCCCCAACAGTGACACGTCGATTAGTGAATTGTCCGTTTTCGGTTCTCGAGAGGGCGCCGTGGCCGTTATTTTCCAGGCTTGCGCCCGCCCGGTCAGGGCCTCAGGTCGTTTTCATTAAACCGCGTTTTACTAAAAGGGGGTCTGTCCATCCCCGAACCTAGGTCACCCGCGGGGGTGCGGAAATGATCGCGCTTCGCGCGTCGCGGTCTGGGCCAGAGCAGTTGCCCTTCTCCTTTTACTAAAGGGGGGTCTGTCCATCCCCGATTCGATTCCGCTGCTCCGTCGATCCGTGGCCCTCCTGCACAGCCTGGCGCGGCCGCTCCGCTTCGGCTCCGACCCGACTCTCCGTGCCGACGCGGCCCGGCTCCTGACGCACGTTCTGGCTCTAGACCCGATCTCCCGATTCGACGACGATTGTCAGGAGGGAAAAAAAAACAACAACAACAAAAAAACAATGATCGTCGATTCCCCAGAAAGTATGGGAAAATGTGGGAAGTGGGGGGGGAGACGAAAGCCCCTGGAGGGGCCCTTTGGGGCCCCAGAGGGGGCTGCCTGGCGCTTCGTCTTGCATCCACGAGGAGGCCCCTGCAGCGGCGCCGGGACGCAGAAGGGGGAGGACGAGGAGCCGGGGGGGAGGCGGGCGAGGAGGAGGGAAAAGGGGGGAGCAGGAGGAGCAGGAGGAGGACCGGGCGGAGGAGCTCCGCAGCCTCGTGCTCCCACGGCCGAGGGCCCCCGCACGGGGGGCAGTCCTCTCGGAGGGAGGCCCCCCGGGCGAGGCGCCCGGCACGGTGGCGGCGGGCGAGCGGCCGTCGCAGAGAGGGCACCGCGCCTCGCAGAGGCCCTCCCCTGCGCCAAGGGCTCCCACGATGGTGCGAAGCTAGTCGCGCTTCGCGGTCCTCGTTCCTTCTCCCCCTCCTCCTCCCTCCTCCTCCTCCTCCTCCTCCTCCTCCTCCTCCTCCTCCTCCTCCTCCTAGTTCCTCCTCCTCCTCCTCCTCCTCCTCCTCCTCCTTCTTCTCTTCCTCCTTCTCTTCCTCCTCCTCCTGGTTCCTTCTCCCCCTCCTCCTCGTCCTCCTTTTCTCCCTTTGGAGGAGCGGCGCGAGAGCGCGAAGTGGTTCGCGCAGCGCGCCGCGCGGAGCGCGAAGGTGGGAGCCCTTGGTGCGCCGGGGTGCAGGCCGCGCAGTGAAGTACAGTCCAGGCTGACGAGAAGGTCGACCATGACAGACCAAGGGTACCCTCGTGTCCTGAGTCTCGCGACGCAGGCATGCCCTCCACACTGCGATGGCAACGTGTCCCTCGGAAGGGTCTTGTGTCCTCTCGCGTGTCCTCTCCAAGCAGCCCCGGCTGGTCGCATGGTGGACGGTTCGGAGAAGGGTGGCGTCATGGGAGGACGGAGGAGGAGGAGGAGGAGGAGGAGGAGCAGGAGGAGCAGGAGGAGCAGGAGGAGCAGGAGGAGCAGGAGGAGCAGGAGGAGCAGGAGGAGCAGGAGGAGCAGGAGGAGCAGGAGGAGCAGGAGGAGCAGGAGGAGCAGGAGGAGCAGAGGAGCAGGAGGAGGAGGAGCAGGAGGAGGAGGAGGAGGAGGAGGAGGGAGGAGGAGGAGGAGGAGGAGGAGGAGGAGGAGGAGGAGGGGGGGAGGCCGCAGAGGGGGGAGTCAGGGGGAGGCCGCAGGCGTAGATGCAGCCAGACCGAGGTACAAGATCGAGGTCAGTTCGGGAAGGGTACCCTAATCTTTTTCGTGTTTGTTGGATATTCCTGTGCACCCTGGGGAGGGTACCCTAGGATGTTTGGTTTGTCTTACGGCAACACCATTTCCTTCGCCTTCCAGGTCTTCGCCCTCGGTCCCTGTCCATGGCGTACCTTTTCCTGCACATCCACTTTGGCACCGCCTGTTCCCAGGGCCCCGCCCTCTCCGGCCGCCTGAGGCTCCGCCTTCCTGTGCCTTGTCTCCCTAATCAAAGCTGTGCGTAGCCCGCCTAGCTTTTAGCGGAAGAGGTTCGCTCTCGCCCCGCAGATCAAAAATGTTTGGTTTGTCTTGGCCGTCGTAGGGTCTCATGTTCTTGAGGGATGTTCTTCTGGCCTAGGTCCGATTGTAAGGGCCACTTCAAACTTAGAACAGACTATGGAGTACGGGCCGATCCTACATTGCGTGACGCCTCAATTCCGCTCGTGGGCACGGCGATTGAGGCAGCCTACAATAGTGGCTTCACGATTGCGTCGCCCAGCTTGTCATCACGCTGAAACAAATATCTAGGGCACCTCCAGAGGCGCGGAATTAGTCGCGCTTCGCGCATCGCGGCTTGGGTCGAAGAGCTGCGCTCCTCAGGGGGGCGGCGCGAGGGCGCGAAGATGACCGCGCGTCGCGCATCGCGGGGTGCGATTCGCGAAGCTAGGTGGCCTAGAATATTCCTCTTTCTCCTCGTTCTCTTCCTCGGCCGTTTCCCTGCCCATTTGATCTCGTCCCCCTGGCCCGGTGCGCCGTCGCGTCTCTGGAGGCTGTTCGCGCGGAGGCTTCAGGAGGGCATGTACGCGAGCCGCGACTTGTCCCCTCGCCGCGGCAGGAGGAAGAGGAAGCAGAAGAAGACGGGGCGCGGGAGGAGGGGGCGGAGGAGGAGGAAGCAGAAGCAGAGGGGGTAGGGGAAGAGTTCAGAGGAGGAAAAGATCACGATGTCGCTGCCCTGCCCTCGTCACCACGAATGCATCCCAGGAGGGGTCCGTGGAGCAGCGGCACGGTCATCCCTGTGCCTCCCCAAGGGAGAGGAGTAGCAGCAGAAGGAGGAGGAGGAGGAGGAGGATCAGGAGCAGCACGGCGAGGGCGAGCACGAGGGTGGGCGGGAGGTGGGCCGTCGATGCCGGGAGTGCGGATGGGGGCCAGGGCGCCTGCATGCCCCTGCCTTGCACCGTCCCCCTTCTCTTCCGTCCTCGTTCCCCTCTCCTCACCCATCCTACCGTTTCTACCCACTCCTCCCCTTGCCGCATTCCGCTCCCCTCCCCCTCGACCGCCTCCTGGCGGTGGCGTGAGCGTCGGCACAAGCGCAAGCGCAGGCGCAAGCTTGGGCGCTGGCGCAGGGAATAGAACGCGGGCGCTTGTGCAGCCGGTCCTGGGCAATTCCTGAACACAGATTGTTGCTTGAGCGCGCTCCACACACTTTTGGCTTCGCGGCCCCGGGCGCAGCGTCGAGGCGGAGAAAGTCGGGCGAAGAGAGGCGCGCGGCCAGCCCAGATCATGCGGCGTGGGGGGACAACCACACACACACACACACACACACACACACACACACACACACACACACACACACACACACACACACACACACACACACACACACACACACACACGCACACACACACACATTGACTCTGACACACATACACGCTGACACATATACACACATACACAAACACATACACACACACATACAGTTCTTGCGTCAGCGGGCCACTGGGACACTCAATCGGCCGGCAAACCAGCATTCCTCCGATGTTAGTTTGCATTTGGGAGGTGCAGAGTCGGATGCCAGACGCTGCTGGAACCACACGCTCCCTTTTTACTCCAAGGCTGGCAGGGTCCAACTCAACAAAAATAGCAGCGGGCCGCGCTAAAGAGTGACTGGCACCGAGCATGCATCGATGAGGACGCCGCCGCCGAAACGGCTGCGCGTGCAGAAGAGGAGGCGTGCACGACAGATGGGCACGCGCACTGAAACACACGCACCCACACGCAGACGAATTTTTGCCCGGCGGGCGCGCGCGCGCGGCGCCGCGCCGCCGGGCTGTCCACGCCCGACGGCCGAACGGGCCGATTTGCGAAGAGGGCGCCACCGCCGTCATCACAGCGCCGTCGCCGCCATCGCAGCGCCGCAGGTTTGCCCACGCCCGACGGCCGAACCGGCCGGCTTGCGGAGAGGAAAGGGGGGAAGGACCGTTGGAGCGGCGGCCGTCAGCAGCGCCATCGCAGCGCCAACGCTCGAAGATCCAAGAACGGTAGAAGCATGGACTTTCGGAGGTCCGCGCGGACTTCTTGGATCGGCGCTGGGCCCGCTTGGCGGCGCCTCCAGCGCCCATCCAGGAATCAGGAGAGGAGAAAAAACACACAGACACAAGTAATCGTCGATTCCCAGGAAAATATGGGGAAATATGGGAAGTGGGGGGAGAGACAATAACCCGGAAAATATGAGAAAATATGGGGACTATTTTTATTTGTGTGTATTCATTTGTGTGTCCTGGCGCCCATCCAGGAAGTCCGCGCGGACCTGCGAGCGCACGCTCTTGCTCCCCTCCAGACGCAGCCCTGCGGGGATCCACGAGGGGGGCCCGCTGCGGCCGGGCTCGGCCCGAGGTCTGGGAGCCGCCGCGATGGGAGGGCCAGAGCCCCGGGCGCACGCATTTGTTTCCCCGACGCGGCGATGCTCAGCGAGCGAAGAACGGTATAAAATAAACTTTTTCGCTGTCGGGGGCGCTTGTCCCTGGGCGGCTGGAAAGTTTATACCCCTACGGTGCCACCGTAAGGGTATAAATTTTCCAGCCGCCCTGGGACAGGCGCCCCCGACAGCGAAAAAGTTGATTTTATACCGTTCTTCGCTCGTTAATTGGCGGCGCCTCCAGCGCCCATCCAGGAAGTCCGCGCGGACCTGCGAGCTCGCGCTCTTGCTCCCCTCCAAACGCAGCCCCTTGCGGGGAGCCACGAGGGGCCCGCTGCGGCCGGGCTCGGCCCGAGGTCTGGGAGCCGCCGCGATGGGAGGGCCAGAGCCCCGGGCGCACGCGTTTGTTTCCCCGACGCGGCGGGGGGTCATAAATGGGGGGTTGGCGAGGGTGGTTCGAAGAGGTACCCTCATGGTACCTAAACGAGCCCCCTGGGGCTCTGGAGGGGCCCGAAAGGGGCACGAAAGGGGACCTTTTCTGATCCCCCCGTTTACGACCCCCCCATTAAGTCCCGCCCGAGTCACCGAGTTCAGCCATGACGAGGGCGAGCACACTTTTGAAGTCCGCGGGCGCCAGGTGGTGCAAGACGGCCAGGCGCCGGTCAGAGCGAGCAGCGGGATGCACCGGGGGCGAAGGGAGGCACGAACGGGAAAGAAACACACAGACACAATTAATCGTCGATTCCCAGGAAAATGTGGGAAAATATAGGAAGTGGTGGGGAAGACAGAAGCCCAGAAAATATGGGAAGATAGAGGGGGAATCTTCTTGTTTGTGTGCATTTCTTGGTGTGTCCCAGGGCCCCCGTCAGTGAGGGGCGAGCGGGAGAGAGGAGAGGAGGCGAGAAGGGGGAATTTGTGTGCATTTCTCTGTGTGTCCACAGGGCCCCCTCAGTGAGGGGCGAGCGGGAGAGAGGAGAGGAGGCGAGAAGGGGGAATTTGTGTGCATTTCTTGGTGTGTCCCAGGGCCCCCTTCAGTGATGGGGCGAGCGGGAGAGAGGAGAGGAGGCGAGA